TGGACGCAGAGGCTAGAGGAAAAATCCTCTGCCCCCGTCGGGGATCGAACCCCGGCCGTCCAGCCCGTAGCTAGTCACTATACTGACTGAGCTATCCCGGCTCATCCCTGCGAGGCAGTGATCTGGTTAATAAAGTAATTTGTTCTGAAGAACGCAAACATCGGATCCCACAAACTTTGCATAACTATAGGAATCATAAATATAAGCATTTCCCAGTGGTCTATGCCCCAGTAGCACTGGTCTGACATGTTCCATGAATGTAATGTATAAGTGACTTCACTTGTAAACGGAGGTAGCTTATGACGCGAGTACAGTAGCTCCCACCCTCAACGGCGTTGTGTCGTGGTTGGGCTACACTAATGAGGTGGGTTGTCACAGTAATGGCAGCATGTCAGTATGAAAGTGTTTTTATGTCAGCTGCTAAATTTCAAAAGCAGCATGTCCGTAAGGGTCTCGTTTAATGATATTATATGGTTGGTAGGCCCGCAAACCCTTTTGAAATGTTGTATAAACAGTTTACTGTTGGCGTTCTGCTTGTTGATGGTGTTTCTATTATATATTGACTCAAGAAACTTCAGTTTCAATTAATTGTCTAGCGCCGTCGACAGTATGGACTATTAAAATATTGTAATTCTTAAAAATGCGAAGTAAGATGTTTTCAAACTTCAAAAACTTTTAATTCAATGGTATTTATATTTTTAAAATATCTGAAATTTTGAAAATTATGAGTGTTCTCAAATTTGAAATTATTTTATTTTTGTAATTCTTAAAAATGCGAAGTAAGATTTTTTCAAACTTCAAAAACTTTTAATTCAATGGTATTTATATTTTTAAAATATCTGAAATTTTGAAAATTATGAGTGTTCTCAAATTTGAAATTATTTTATTTTTGTAATTCTTAAAAATGCGAAGTAAGATTTTTTCAAACTTCAAAAACTTTTAATTCAATGGTATTTATATTTTTAAAATATCTGAAATTTTGAAAATTATGAGTGTTCTCAAATTTGAAATTATTTTATTTTTGTAATTCTTAAAAATGCGAAGTAAGATTTTTTCAAACTTCAAAAACTTTTAATTCAATGGTATTTATATTTTTAAAATATCTGAAATTTTGAAAATTATGAGTGTTCTCAAATTTGAAATTATTTTATTTTTGTAATTCTTAAAAATGCGAAGTAAGATTTTTTCAAACTTCAAAAACTTTTAATTCAATGGTATTTATATTTTTAAAATATTACATCACGTTAGTTCGGTCAAAGGTCAGGTTTGGTTTGGTTAGGTTGGATCGGGTGGCTTTAGCTTGTGTTTGGTTATCATAGGTTGGGTAGGTTTTCATAAAGTTAGGTTATGAGGGGTTTAAGTTTTGGTAGGTTTAGATTACTTTTAGTTTTCGTGTGGTGGATTAATTAAGGTACCTGAAACAATCGAATAGAGCTAATTTTCTGTAGCTAAAAAATTTTGGTTATATCGGGGGGGAGGGCTAATATAATATTTTTTATGTGTGTGGCAAAGAACGCATGGGGAATTTCTGTGTAGTCCGGTAAGAAGTACACTTTACTGACTTTTTGCCAACCCCTCCCCCTCCCCGGCTATCAATATCGCCAATATGCGTTTTCCAATAAAATTTGAAATAAATTCTCTGCCTTACCAACTTTGGGATTTTAAAATAATTGTGTCACGCAGTAAAAACTAACGGTTGTAAATATCTGGATAATTTTATTTTCTTCTGTTTCATTCTTGGATTTCAGACAGCTTCAATCCAAAAGGCAGAATTATTTGGCACATTTGCGTTGTAAATAAATATCCGTCACGTACGCGGCCTGGTAGTATTGATGTGCGCATGCGCAACTCCGCTTTACGTAGCTGAGAAAATTCGTCTTTAGTGCAAAGATATTTCTCTCAGGTGTTTCTTGTTTTGTGCTCCTCCACCCTTCGTAGTATCGTTATTCATTTGTTTTTGCAATTACTGTTTTAATTGAAAACAGTAAGAAGCTGTCTCACTATACTCCATATAAGGTATCCTACTAATTCTTAACCTCGGCACCAGATGGGGTGTGAGTGGTCAGTATCACGTTCCGGCCGCTCTTTACCCCCGGGAAAGGATCCCGGTACCCATCAGATAGGAGACTGGATGGACCCCAGAGCTGGAGGATAAATCCTCTGCCCCCCGCTAGGGATTGAACCTCGATCGTCCAGTCATTAAATCGAATAAATAAGACGAAAACGTCTTGCGTAGTAATGCATCACGTGACTCTCAAGGCTGTATACGTCACAGATACTTTACTCTCGCGAACAGTACTACCAAATACGGTTGAGCTCCAAAAAGAAAATTACTAACCTCATGATTAAAACTTGTCGTTAATCGCTTTATAATACTTCACAAAGAAAACCTACATAAAGACGCATTTCTCACTGTAATATATTTGAAATAATGAAAGTACTGTGTACGTGTTCTGCACCGGTAAGAGGTTAATCCCTCTCCACCGATCGACCCTCCCCGTCGTTATAATGTTTGCCTCGTGTCTCAGGTGTCTGGGAATCGCGTGTGAGTAACCAAACAACGCAGTTGTGTGTTGTCTCTTCACCGAGCCCTTCTCCGGTTGTTGACGTGAGTTACAAACTGAATTTGACTGTTTAAGAGACCTTGTATCTTCGTATCTACATAGAAGAAGTGGAAAACATATATATATTTTTTTTATTTTGTGAAAATGTTTCTCAATGTCAGTGTCAAATTGAAGAGGAAATTGAAATACGAGGGAAATGTATTTAAAGACAAATGGAAAAAAATATTATTTATTTAGTATAGTTCGAGATAAAATAGATTAAATCATTTGTAATAGGAGAATCTGTGACTATGGAGTAAAATAACATCGTAATTATAAAACAATGCCCACAAAGAAATTTGGTAATCTCAAATTCAACGTTTTTAAATCAGATCTGCAATTGCAACGTAACGCATTTACTGTGGCTAATGAATCAGGAGGATTATGTAAATTGTAAATTACTGCAAAATAATCGAAACCATTTAGGGACGGTTTGTTTGTGAGGGGATGCAAATCGTGGGCAACAGAAACTGTTTTTCTCGGAAACAGCAGCTTTTTAAATGTATCAGTCTGTCTGCAAATACATTACCAGTTCGTGTCTATGACTTGACGGGGGTACAAATTATCAGCTTAAAGAAGAATGTAAAAATTTTGTGGCTTATTTAATTGAAATTGATAAGAGTAAAGACAGTCAACACATTACAACTGCTTGCTGTTTGTATTGGAGGTGTTACAGTAGAGGAGGAACTTTTAAAAAATATGTGGAGTGTTATACCATATTTAATAAGGAATGTTTTGAAACGAAATTTCATTAACTTCATTCTTACTTGACAAAAATAAATTTCACGAACTCGGATGTCTTGTCAAATCTAAAAGTTCTTGAACATGGTGATGAGTGATTTGAATAAATTTTTTCTTGGATATTATCTATCGTCTAGTAAAATATAAAACGTAAAACGACGTCAATTAATTTGAAATATACAAGAACTTATTATTTCTTACAGATTCAATGCAAATTATAGAACACATTAAACTTTAAACGCACTAAAATCTTTGCACTTTACAGGTTTGGGTGACACATGGAATTTTACACATTGTAAAAAACCCTGCGTTATTCTTACATTTGTGTTCTTAAAGCGAATGACTGACATAATTTTAAACTTACTAAAATATTTGCACTTTACAGGTTTGGAATTTTACACATTGTAAAAAAAAAACTGCGTTATTCTTACATTCGTGTTCTTAAAGCGAATGACTGACATAACCTTACTATTACTTTGGAACTATAGAGTGATCGATTGATGCATTAAACTGTTGCTAAGCAACGTAACACCAGCGCTTACTGGTCAGACGGACGCTTAGGGAAATGCAGGCTACAGCAGATGAAATTTCTCCTTTCAACTTATTTTATTCAATTTTCCCTCAGTCCCCTCTTCGTGCGTCACAACATAATTTTCCAACCCTTCCCCAAAGATGTAATACAGAATGAACACTGTTCTACGTGGGTGCAATTCGTGTTATCTATTTTCATGTAGCATATACCACTTATTTTTAACTTCTCCCCCAATCATATTAGGGCGGTGCCTCGTGTTCTAATTCCTTATTGGACGGTGCGAATTTTCCCCTCGTGGTCTAGTGCGCATGCTCAGTGGTGCGTAGGATTTCAACTCGAGGCTGCATATGGGTTTAGGGGGGCAGTAAGGTTGGAGATATAAACCCGGCTCCCGGCCAACAGACCCTACGCAGCCACTCGACGCCGATCAAGACGAATCAACACCTGTTGGAAAACCATGAGGACGTATCTTTTTGTTCTGGCCTGCGCTATTCTGATCCTCGGGCAGTTCGTAATGCCAACGACCGCTGGTCCGTATCTGGAAGACGATGGTGAGTCATTGTTTCTATTATTTTCTCCCCATTCGTATGTTTACACATTACGCTTCTCGTAGTTCAGGCGATTTTAGACTTTGAAATTTTCCAGCTACATCTGGATTACTGAGAGACTTTTTATAAGAATTACTTTCAAAATAAACGCCACAGTGCTATTACATATCGAATTCAACTATTTATGTCTACAACTTATTACCACATACTGGGGTTTGCGTTGAAGTCGTTTGCTTTGAAAAGTTGTCAAGCATGTTTAGTGTCAACGAATGAGGTTATGTCACTGTTGGTTCTAATTTAGCCTTAGTGTGCGTAAACATTTCTGTCACAATCTTCGTAATTCTGTGATGAACTTAAAATGCTATTAATATGAATACAATACAACGCTTAATATTTTATTTCATATGCTCTTTTTTGACGTTAGTATATATATTTTCTTAATTATTATAATTACTTGAAACAGAAACTTGTATACTTTTACAAAAATTAAAAGAAAATCAACAAAATTATATTACGATTTTCAGGCAAAGAAGGAAGGGAAATATATATATATTTTTTTAACAAATTATTGCTTATAAAGTTTAAGTACTGACTAATTTACGATGTCAGTAAAATTTACTGACTATTGACATTGAATTAAGTTTTGGAGGGAATCGCACTGAACTTCACTAAGTTACAAGAAGGCAAGGAGTAAACTTCTTACACACACTCACAGTTTCTATGAAGTTTGACGGCAATATAAATTGTAAAACTAATTAATTTAAAATTCGTTAATCAAATAACACTAATAAACGATGAAAGAATATTACTGAAGTTTATAATATTTATGAAATTAATATAATTATGATTACTACACCCATTCTTAGAATTTTAACCAAACTGACTTGTTATTGAAGCCAAATTTTTAATAACAAAAATTAATCATGACAGTTACAGCAGTAATATCAGCTTTAATATTATTATATCATTTACGTGTGTATTGTTTTAGATTTATCATGCCACTACGCAGGTGGTTGTTGGCTATATTGTGAAAATCCGGTTTTAATTCCTATAAAATTATACAAGGCCATTTAAAGTATTAAGCGTCTACTTATCCCATTATAATAACAATTAAATGTAGTTTATTATTATAAAGTGTTCCCTTTATACTTATTGAGAATTTCTGCAGTATGTATCAGTAAAATCTGTTGAAACGGTTTTGAAATTAATTGTAAATAAAAGCCTTTTTGGAATGTAATATTTTGTTAGAGAAAAAAAGAGACATAATTTCGCATTTCTTCACACTAAAATTTATAAATTAATTATTTTCAAACTACGTACGTAATTAACTTCATGGGGAAGAATGCTTCTTCAGAAATAAATAATGGCCGCTGTTTTGACGTTTTCTTGAGCTGTATTCAATCAAATTCAAAAATGAACTACAAGATAGTTGATGATAATAGTAATAATAATTACAATACTTTTGCAATTTTTCTTAACACTTACGTGAATTAAAAGAACGAGTATAATATCAGATTTGCTGAAGATGTTTGTGAGTTCTGGAGCAAAGATTGACAGAGTCAGTTAAATTTTAAATTAAAATAGACTAACGTGCTCCTTTAAATAACTGACATGTAATACACGGCGAATTGTAAGATATTTATGATTTTTATTTCACTTCTTGTGTAGATTTTATTGAAAAAATTATGATGATTCGGGATTATATAAGCAGCACGCTTATTAGACAAATTATATTTTGTCTCTCAAATAATATATTATTCAAATATATTAACTTATTTTTTTTGGAGATATTTGAGAATCTGGCTGCTATCGTCTGGTATGCTGTACCCTGTTATCTACTAGATATAGACTGACATTTCAGAGCAACTTTGTGCCTCCATCTTCAGGACGACAACGCGGTACAACATCCCAAAGTGTCTTCACGATTAACCTGATTTTTACTGTATTCTAACAACACTAAGTCTTGAGATGCCTTCCACTCCAAAATTAATAGATTTGTTTACAACATCTGCAAATTAAACTAGATCTTCTTTTAATGCGTAGTGACGTTTTAATTAAACCTGATGTTAAATTTGCACACTCTTTTAACATTTGCTTCTTGAATTTGTATCACCGCAAATGATCCACTCCGACTTGCAATTGCTCTAATTAGAATGCGCGAGGTGTGCCCGAAGACGCTGGAGACCTTCTTCCAGCGATGAAAGCAAGAAAGAAAATTAAAGTTAATAGGTGCTTTGGTATTTGCAGTCTGTAGCACAATCGTCCACACAAATTTGAATATTTAATTTGTATCAACATCGACTATTCTCAACTTTTGACTTTGTAAAATTACTCGTAAACAAAATAATGATTTACAAAAGGGGTTATGAGAACATGATGTGGTTTGAAGCACTATGACCATTGAAATAAATGAACATGACACTTTTTATCTTGAACCACTCAATAAAACAACGAAAAACTTTGTCCGAAAGGAATTCCTCTTGTATGGAGACAGATCATTAACACAGATCGGCCTAATAATTCTGTGTGTAACAACTTTGATAAATATGCAAGACTTTACATCAAATTTAATAAATTTCGAAATATTTCTTCTCGTTAACATATAAAAGACTGTTTCACACAGAATGTTTTAATATTACCTTTCCATGTCTTATTCAGCCTCACAAGCGGAGATTTTCAAAGTGGTATCACTGACAAAATTATTATGTATTTCTTGTTTCTCTCAAACAATTAAGATACCCAAAACCTCGTACTTTTTATTTTATGTACTTATCACACTAAGTGGCGTAAATATATTACAAAATTCCTTTTTCCTTTAAGGAACAAATATTTTCTTGTGTAGTCTGTGTCTGTACTTGGTAATTTATTTTACTGTATCAATATAAGACTACGTTTAACATCCATGAAAAATAACTCTCTAACTTGTTCTCATCTTCAACATTTCACAAAGCGGATGATAGTTAACTGTTGTGAAAATAATAATAATATGTAGTCATCCCTAACAATAAAACTATATAATACGTGTAGCACGTATTAAAAACAAAATGCATTTCGAAAATAGCTATTTACCTTAGGGACAAGGTCTGTGTCGGGTACATGGAAGTAAATACCATATAAAGTTTTGAATAGATGAGATAATAATAATATATTCTATTTAGATTTTTATTATGAAGTTATTTTTATTTATTAATGTTCTTTATAGACACCTAATGCTAAAACAATTGTGCTTAGTTCTTACGGCTTTACGGTAACTTTGATTTCGTGTTATGTCCAAATATTCACCTATCTAAGTAGCATATTAATTTGTGACAATGCTATTATTATTATTATTATCCAAAATAGAATGTTGCACTACACATTTTTCCCACAGGTTTCTATGTCTGCCTAGGTGTATTGTGTTCTAAATTAAATTGTGGAGTTCCGCATTCAACGACTCGCTCGCATATCCCATACCAAGACCTTGTATCGGGCTGTAGTGTCACTTCGTTATCGCTACTGCGTCTTGTCACTCGTCCACTCTTCAGAACACTTTCCAGGAAGGGGCATCGTCGCCCACTCGGGTCCTCGTCCTGCACACACAATATCGATCTCGACGCCGCGCTCTGCCTATTAGGGTCCACGTCTACTTGTGGTTTCCAAAACTTCCCTCTGCACCAACCCCTACTAATTACGAGTGCGAATAAACTGAACAGTATTATTTTCTGGCAATGTTACAGAAGACGAAGATGTCTGTCTTCTGGGTTGTTGCGCTGTGTAGTCTGGTCGATGTTTGCCGACGTTTCAGAGGTCATACTGCCTCCATCATCAGGGCGATGAGTATGAAGATTTCTGTCTTCTGGGTTGTTGCGATGTGTAGTCTGGTCGATGTTAACCAACGTTTTAGAGGTCATACTGCCTCCGTCATCAGGGCGATGAATCGCCCTGATGACGGAGGTGTAACATGGAGCACCGATGGACATGTAAACTATTAAAGGGCAAAAATCTATTAGGTCAAAGGTGAAAATAATGCATAAGATGTCAGCGTGGACCTGACCTATCCTTTTTGTCAGATATACTCGCCATTTCGTTTTGCTATTCGAAACTGTCTCATATGCGAAAAAGCGACAGACGTTGGCTGAAATTTCTAGTGCTTTAACTATGAACACTTACAATTATTCGAGAAATCAAATTATGAGAACATGCAAGAGTTAAACAGAATTTAACAAATTTCACTAGCAGTATGTGCTTATAGTGTATCTATGGAGGCTGAAAGTACAAGAACAAATTAAGCTCCTAATTTACAACTACTTACATTTTCTATAAATACACGAACTATAGATCGATGTTGTGATCCATATAAGATTAAATATCTATAAGATAAAAATTAACTGTCTTCAAGAATATAAAAATATTTATGGAATTAATATGTCGCAAACCTCTGGGGTTTGATTTATTTCAACAGCGTTGTTATTTGGTAAAATTTGTCAAATAACTTATAAGAATGCATAATTCAAAACACATGGCAAATATTTCGAATTTTACAAATGTGAACCACGAGGATGTAAAGGAAATATGCGAAACGTTGGTTTTTTTGTATTAATAACACATTATAACGTATTTGTAGAGCCTGAACGCAGAGGTTTACAGACTGGGACACTAGAGGCGCTTGAATGCGGCAGTTAAGAAAAGTAGGGTTATGTCAGAAATACTTAATAGCAAAGACGAGATGAAAGTTAAGGAAAATTAGTGATGAATTATAAAAAGGATACGAATAATGTGGGTAATAAAAGAAAGACGAGATTGAAAAAGGGAAAGAACAAGAATAAGTTACAACAGGAGACGAAAAATGACGAGGAGAAAAAGAAGAAAGATTCGTTCAATATTTTTATGTTGTTTCCAAATTTTAATTTTCATTACGTCACGCTTTTATTATATGGATCTGAAAGGGGTGATTCATTAATTTACAACTACCCGCTTCATCCACAGCCCGATGATTGCTGAAGTGATAACAGAATGACAGGGAC